CAATAAATCTGGAATGGGCATAAATCCTATTAGATACTAGATGGCGATAACGTTGGTAGATCTACTTGTATTATCTGTCATCTTCGATATGATTGATGAACCTTGGAAGTTGATTTGTCTCGATTTCATGGCCGAGACTGAGACCAGTTCGTCTGGTGGGTCATAACAGCTGAAAATCAGAGTAACTTCATTCATCCCATATTTCCCAATCATGAGATCTGGATAAGTCTATACATCCGCGAATAAGAATTTGATCAGTTAATCATTGCTTGAACATAAATAATATGATATACAGGGTGTTTCAAAAGAACCTAACCCCCTTGCTAGGGTAGGTAGAACATTGCAAAATAAGTTTGGTTTTCTCAGTGAAAAAATGTCGTATCGGCATTCGTTTTCAAGATACAAGGTGTTCAAAGAATATTTGTTTTCAATTTTTTTTACGATTATGTCGAAACAACTGTCGACATTGTGATGAAATTTTGTATGGATGTGTTCTGAAAGCTGACACACCGCATGAATTCGTTTTTATATCTGACACTCATAGAGGGCGCTAGTTACAGGGTTCGTACCGAGTACATTTGAACATAGCTTTTTTGAGGTTAGATTTCTCAGTCCAAATTTGACTTTGGTTTTAGTCACCATTTCTGTTTTTTTTTTACTGAAATGAGATTTTGTCCTATTTTCCTATCATCCTTTTCGAATAGTTTTAGTGGATATAAAGTGTTACAAATTTCATTTTCCTTCTCGTTCTACTTCTATTAACATATTTTGTGATATACTTCTTATGTGATATCGTAGTTGTGGTTGAAATTTGTCAGATGAGTTGTAAAACACTCACTGTATTGAACAACAATACTCTGTGTCTCATATTTGGGCAATAAATATTGGAAATCATCGATATCAGGAAACAAGTTTGAATTGAAAATTTTCATCCTGTATTTCAATTAGAGGCGAATTTTTGAAAATGTCTCGAGTTAATATATAGTCTAATTTAAGTAATGGATATCGAGAAGGCCGTTTCTGAATATACTGAATCGAATGGGTCATAGTTTTAGTCACCATTTTTGATTTTTTTTTACTGATATGAGTTTTTGTTTCATTTTCTTATCATCCTGTGTATTTCAAAGGGGTGCTTTTTTCGTCTCTCATTGTCCTCCACAAAACATACGAATAGTTCTTCCCAATAGTCAGCTCAAGTGGAGTTCTAGAGAAAAAAATCAAAAAATGCAAGACTTTCGAAAAAAAAAATCGAATTTTTGTTCCAATAGCCAATTAAAGAGAAATAACGAAAACTTCCCGAGATGCGGGTCCCAGTGTATCATAATGAGACTGACTTTGGATCAGAAAAAAAATTCTCGAGTTCTGGCAGCATTGGAAATGTAGACCATAGTGTAATGGTTCCACTTTACACCCTGTGTAAGTTTTGTTCTGCACACTTTTCCAGAGTGTTCTATTTCTCTCCGCAGTCGATGAAATATTACATCTGATATCGAAAACCGCTTTAAGATCGGTAAATTTCTTCAAAAGATACAGGTCTTCGAAATACAGTCAAATTATGAGTGGTCCATTTAATGTGTTGAGAACTGTATATGTAATATATTCAAGACTATAAGCTCTAGCACGATAATTGTACCACACTATTAACCGGACCGATTTTTCAAATGCCTCAATAATATGAACAGTTTGTTTTTCCATAACTCGAGTATTCGGATAATATACAGTGTGTACAAATAACTAAAAAGTTATTTGTAACTGAGTCATAGTGAGCTATGACTTACATTTGAAAAACTAAAGTTGGTGCTGATATCTCAAGTTCTAGAAGAGTTGGTATAAATTCCTATTTGAATATTTTCATAAATAGAGAAGTTACGGAAGAGACATGAAAATGATCAAAATCTGTTTTTTGCGTATAAAACAAAAACGAATAGATTTTATCAAAATATTTTTTCACATTATAGGTGGCCTTGACAAACTCCACATTTGGTGTCATTCAACCGACCTCGTATCTCTCACCGTTAAAAAGATACTCATGGTGAGCATGGTAAGTGGGACACACTGTATATATTTCAAATCCTGTTCAATGATTCATCACATGATTCACGCAGAATAGCATGATGAGCAATCGTCAAATTTTCAATATGGGGTGTTTTAGTGCCTAGTTCAGTGACTTTACTATTGTTTCTGTCGAGATGACCAACCACTTCCAATTACTTTCTGCCTCTTTTGGTATTTCAATGAAATGACTCACTTGAGACATAATCAGTGAGTATCGATATTTGATTAGTTATGTGCCACTTATGGATCAACACTTTTCTCATTGTTTCTGAAACGAATCATTCAGAGTTGTTCATCAGAAGGTTAAAAACTGATCACAAAAATTCACTGTTGAAGGTACCCAGGAAGGGGATCAATTGATACAAGACCACCCCACTGATTATTTGTGGTGTGACGGCTATATCTGTGGAATAGTTATTCTTCTCGGTTCATTCATCATTGATTGTGTGATTTGCAAAATAGGCTTCGATTTGGGAATAATTATCAATGTACTGCCTCTTGATTGATGAAAAGGCGACTCACGGACTGTTCAAATTATCTCTAAAACAAATTATTTCGTGAAAATATCCAACAACAATTCTTTTTGATGTTTTAAAAAAGGAACAGATTTTCATTTGTTATAGGCACGGCAGCTCGTTTGTTTCGGAACAGGTTGTGAGTTAGTTCTTTTCTTTGTTACTAGTGAGGTTATCCTCTTGTCGAGCGCCACTCAGTTTTCACAAAAAAATCCAAGATATAAATAAGCCAAAGTAACTGTCAACAGATTCATTCACCCTAACATGTCAACAATAGGTATATAGAATGAAGGTATATAATGTTCCATGATTATAACTCAGTACAAGTGTAGATTTCCATTCATATAGGCCTATACTTTGGGTTCACAGAGTCTCTAACAGACTCAATAGTTTTATTCAAATGTACATTCTGATATTACACTGGAACGTGTTGTTGACAAGTACTCAAATATCTCTTGACAAGGGATAGTGAAAAATTTCTATTAAAATAATGTACTCAGACAGGAAAAAATGTGATATGTTGAATGTCCTCAGACAGGGAGAAAATATGTATGTTAAATATCCTCAGACAAGGATAAGATATGTATGGAAAATTCTGACCTTAACTGCAAGTTCTGGACTTTGTACCATCAGATTCCAACTGTGGTTCACTAGATCTCACTACTTGGATGAAACGAAGACACTCCTTCCTCAGTCGGCGTTAGGGGTAATATGTGCTAGGAAAACTGGATCCCCACACAGTCGACAGGAACTACAACCACCTGGAGACCTGGGCACTTGGTTTATCCCAGGGCAACTGGATGCTGCGCTGGAACTCTGGCTGACGGGTCCACAGGCTGCCACCAGGGCAAGCTCCTTCCACAATCCAAGCTGGACCAGGACGTCTCCCTATACGACTAGGCACTAGGAGTTCAGGCTCCGAAGCAACAAGAATCCTAGGGATGATGGATCATATACCACACCAGGAGTCTGGACTCCCCTGGACTTCCTGTCAGAAGTCGGGATCACTGGCTATCTGTATACCAGTAGGGCTGCTAGGGACTTTAACTGTCGACAGCGATGATTCTGTCAAATATTCTGGGCTGTCGGGTCCTATAGATGCCCAAGGACATACACAAGAAATCACCAGGGATCTGCCTCCACCTTCAAGTGTATTGATAACTCAGGCTTCAAAGCACGAAGATCTCTCAGGTGCCGCAATCATCGAAAAAAATGTCCACGTGGTGCCCAAACAGTGAAGTCCAGAAGAAAGTTCAAGAAATTCAAATGCCCATAGTTGATGGAAGATTCGATTTGTAGTGATCCATTCAGTTTACAGCGTTGAGTGTTAGAATACTAGTCCAGAAACATGCCATGTGGTCAAAAGAAAATAGAGTTTATATCATATCATCCATTTCTGTACCCCATGCTCCCCTGCATAAGGCCGTGATACCTGAAATGTACATACCCTATCCAATGTCATCCGCTGAAAGAGATTCAATATTTCTCACCTTCCTATCGGCAAGGCCCAACACAAAACTAGGTGTCCACCATCTGACCTGATCTCACGAGAGCCAAGAAGAAACAGGGATTCATTTTGGCATCAACACATGAAACCTCTTATTCGTAAGAAAATGAATCACCAGGAAGGATGAACAAACGGAAATTGCTCAAACAACAAGTTTTCGTCAATCAGAGCACTTGCGATCCACCTCAAAAAAATATTGCAAACCAAATTTCGTCTCTTCGCAGCGTCGAGCTAGCCACTCGAATAATATGATTCAAGGATGCAACTTGAGAAAAATATTGAATATCGATCATGATATCGATAGTCGATACAAAATTGTGCGACAAACAGCCTTCTACTGGCAAGAGACTAAGATTTAAACTACAGTATTCATGAGCATCTGAGAGATTTGTAAGATTGGATTAGAAGGAAACAAAAATAACCTAACAGTCATCCAGTCATGAACATTGAAAATAAAAACATTTATCAAGATGGAATTATATAAAGTACCTCAAAATCTGGAAAAGAAATCATCGAGTTACGCAGTGCATCTTCACAAAGCTTCCCCATTACCTATTCGCAGAATTCACAGTATGGAACACGAAAAAGCACATTTTCATGTTACAAACAACGATTGTTCCAAAATAGATAAAATTATTGGGAGAAGAAGGTTGAAAAAGTATTGGAGCAAGTACTGAAAAACATGAGAACCAGTTGCCACTAAATTCCTTTCATTCCAGGAGATACCCTCTAAAAAAGATCATTCCACCAATTTGGGGTATAGAAGACCTCAGAAGTGCATTGATTCCATGCCTAATGATTGACTTACTGGTGAGAAATTTTCCGTTGGGACCAATCAGTAGAATTCGTGCATAATGAAGATGAGATCGTCCAATTTCAGGCTTTTCTAATCAGCCGTCTTTTATATTCTCATCGTCTTTCAGTTCAACCTCGATAACAAAATGAAACCGAGCTGTTTAGGGACCGAGCTGAATATTTTCCTCCAGAATGAAAACAACCAGATCAAATTAACTTCTCGCCAGGATACGTGTAATTCAACTCTGACGAGCGCTTGTTTCAACGGAATTACAGAAACTCCCCCAGTCGAGTTCCTCTCAAAATAAAACGCAAATGAAGATTTTTCGTGCCAACTGTGATAATACTGATGACAGTGGAATTTTTATGGATAATTCACAAGAAAACATTTTGGAATTGAAAAAATATCGACAGTGTTCGTATACTGAACCCATAATCTAACAATATCTTTGAAATCAAAATAATATGACCCCATCATTCCAGATTTTTTGGAATTTCCTCTCTTTGTTCCTATAAAATGAAAACATAAATATTATTTCAATACAGTGTGTCCCACTTATCATGCTCACCATGGGTATCTTTTTAATGGTGAGAGATACGAGGTCGGTTAAATGACACCAAATGTGGAGTTTGTCATGGCCAACCATAATGTGAAAAAATATGTTGATAAAATCTATTCGTTTTTTGTTTTATACGCAAAAAACTGATTTTGATCATTTCCATGTCTCCTCCGTAACTTTATTTATGAAAATATTCAAATAGGAATTTCACATTCTCACGGCAGTTTTTCAAAGTGATTTCGAAAAGAATGTGAAATTTATACCAACTCTTCTAGAATTTGAGATATCAGCACCAACTTTAGTTTTTCAAATGTAGGCTCACTATGACTTAGTTACGAATGACTTTTTTTCTCTTACAGATGATATGTCGCAGTAATAGTTTTGTGTTGATAACAACGGAGTTATCGTCATTTGGAAGCCGCCATTTCGAATTTATAAATGTTAACAGAAAAATCATGATCTCCGACCTCAAAAACCCCCACTTGCCAATTTTGAATGGAATCGGACCAAATCTTGTCCACAATACATTATAGAATTTTTGTTGAAATCGAAAAAAATGGCTGCTCCAAGATGGCGGACAAGATTTGGTCCGATTCCATTCAAAATTGGTGAGTGGGGGTTCTTCAGGTCTGAGATCATGATTTTTTTGTTCAAATTTATAAATTCAAACCGGAACTACAAGTCCTAGCGGAAAAAGTTAGATGGCAAAGTTTTTTTTGCATATAACCTCAATATGAAGGAATGTGAAACACTCAAATAAGCAAGGTTTATGTTCTCCAATTCTTTCACAAGAAAACTCACCTCTTCATGTCTTAAATACACTGTAATTTATTTGATTCGGAATATTCATTTTTTCACTTTATTATGACTTTTCAATCTAGAATTCTTGCATCGAAATATCTGCCTTGTCAAAAGATTCACTAGTCTTTTTGTTCGTAGAAATCTCTACTTTTAGATGATGTGAAAGATATATTCATTACAAGAGTGTATTTTCTCGGAGAAGGCAAAGAAACGAAACTCTAATCCAAATTTTTTTCAAATCAGTTTGTACAATTTTGAGCTATTTATTGGAATGCACAGAAATTACTGGAAAAACGTGAGATGCCATGTTTCATTAATGAACAGAAAATATTTAGGATTCACAAGACATTGAGATCGCGAAGAACATGCGAAAATAGTTGTTCTGAATATAGAAGATTAGGTTTAAACGGGATTTCTTCTAAAAAATGTAACTGTCGCTTTGTCGTTTCCCTGCATTTTCTACACTTACCACAATAATGTATATATTTCCTCACACGATCAAACAGTAGGAATTTTGAGCAAACAAAAAGCATATTCATCATTTTTCTTTAGGCAGGGTGCTAAACTGTTCTAAATTGTTCTAAAATTGTTCTTATCCATCATACGGTTGCCCTCTTACGAGCAACCCTCAGAAGTCTTCAAGAGACTTGTGCGAGCGAGGAATGACGGGGGTCTTTCTTAGGCAATCAGAAAAATATCTGCGGTCTTGGTGGGACTCGAACCCAGTACCGGTAATCCAACGTGGATAGAAAATTGACGCTCTGATCACGAGGCTACGAGAGGCTCTTCGATATTGAGTCGAACAATGTGATGAGATGAATATTTTAAATTGAAAGAATCACAGTATATCTGGGATATAAAAAGATAGGTTCTCATCAAAGTTTGTGAAAAAATTTTTTGCGACATAAGAAAAACGAAAACGGTTATTTCAATTTTTCACATGTACATTGTGGGGTTATGTGAAAAAAGTGTTGGGACCAAAGACATGAACCTTTTTATTATCTAGAACTTTGCTTACCAACTTTTTTCCATAGAACTGCCGGAAATCCGGAAAATCCGTTTTTTACCTTTTGAAGCTCATCCCTTACCTCTTCCCAACGAACGATGCCCATGGATTATTATTTTCTCATTTTTGTCATATTTTCTTTTCCATTTTTCGTCACTTTTCACCATTTTCAGAGGCTCCAGCACTGTTCTAATCCCATAATAGGTAGATACAAATGATAATTTTTTCGAAAAGATATGGATCTCATGATATCAATATGTTCAGATGAAATACTCACATTCATTTATTCATAACCTATTCGGAAGGATTTCGAATTTCTATTTGAAAAAATGTGTTTCAGCTTCATGTTAAGCACTACTATAAGTTATCGCCCATTGGTAGTTATATTTCTTCATTTTAGTTTTGATTTCTGAACACTGAACACACTTTCTGGAGCTGTATATTCTGAGGAAATTCCTTCTCACAATATTTTATAGATTACGAAGAAGCTGAAATAGCTAGGAATAAAAAAATCTCTGCTCTGAAAATATAATCAGTTTTGTGTTTTCCATAACTTTCTGAAACAATTAATGTTTCCATATCTCATGCCCAGTATTATATCATGATTTGATCGACCTACCTCAGTTACTTTTTTCTGAGGTAAAGAGCATTATCAATTGAATAATATTATGATCATTGTAATATTCTGATTTTCTTTCTATTCTTCATTTTTGACTCACCCAATGTGTTAATTGAGTGATGGTATAAAAAGTGCTTACACCCTATACGAAAGCGGCTTTTTTGCGAGCTTTTTGTTTTTTTATTCATTGATTCATCCCTAAAATTTTTCGAATTACAGCTTTATTTGCTGAATCCTTGCAGATTACCAACTTTCTGAATTTATCGAGAAACAATTCTCTAATGAAATAAACTGATACCAATAAGTTTAAAAAACATTTTTATCAAACACAGAATTATAAATTGGGATGACTGCTTGGTACCGTTTATTGCCTCCTCTAGCAACTCTAAGAAATACTAATCTACGAGGCATACTGGAAATTAAGTTGCTTATCGTTTGCATTGGTATACCATTCTTCCACTAATGCATCTGCCATTTCTGCGAGACATTCCGGAGACCACTCGCGAGAACGTACCCTTCTCCTTCTCCCTAATTCATCCCACAAATGTTCTATAGGATTTATATCGGGGCTTCTCGCAGGCCATTGTAATGTGGTAAAACCAATAGCTCCTAAGAAGTTTCGCACTATTGCTGCGGTGTGTGGTCGGGCATTATCCTGCATCAATATGAAATTATTGCCCACTAACTCTGCATAAGGTGAGACATACTGCTCTGGAATGTCAATGTGAATTCAGGCATTCATCGATTGCCTCACCGGAAAAACATGATGGGGTGTCTTTCCATTCATTGAAATCCCTCCCCACACGATAACGGACCCACCATTGAAACTTTCGCATTCTGTTATCAAATTTTGATTAAACCGTTCACCAGTTCTTCTCCACACTCTTTTCCTTCCATCCACCATGTTGAGGAAAAACCTTGACTCATTCGTAAACAAGACATTCAACAATTCAGGAATATTTCACTGTCCATAATTTTCAACAAAATTTCTACTAGCAGCACGATGTTCGGGCAATAATTTGGGACCTTTTGCGGTTCTCCTATCTTTCAAATTAACTTCTTTTAGACGTCTTCATACCATCTGCTTACTCACTGCAACATCATGAATTTGGCGAAGATTCTGCTGAACATTTACCGCAGTATTTAATCGATTTCGTAAAATCCGCAATCTAAAGAAACGATCATCTCTTAGAGAAGTTTTTTTTGGGGGCGACCAGAACCGACCCTCCGCGCGGTGCTTCCTGTTCGTTCGTACTTGTGGATTGCTCTACGAGCATTTGCTTCATGAACTCCCACTGCACGAGCGGCGTAACGTTTACTATACGCCCATCGTTTACTAACGCAACTAACCTTGCTACTTGTTCAGGATTTATTTGAGACATTTTATGTAATTCTAGTCAATAAAACAAGACACTTAATTAATGACACAACGACAAATGGTCAAATATGGAGGCATACAACAAATTAGTTGCTATGGCAACGGCATTTGTTTTTTTGAAGAAAATGTGATCCTACCAGAGTACAACCCAATCAATTTTGCAGTAGTCTGATCCTTCAATAAATTCAATTTGTGGGATAAGCGTAAGGTAGGTATCAGCAAAAAAGCTGTGATTCGGAAAAGAAGCCTCTTTCGTATAGGGTGCAAGCACTTTGTTTACCATTACTCAATTAACACACAGGGTGAGTCAACAATTAAGAATATAAATCATGATTCGAGTTATTCCACCACCATCAAGGAGGCTTTGAGAAAAATTTCACTTCTTCATTTTTTTTCAAAGACAAATGCATTACCTACCAACAAATAAAAAATAATAAGAATCGGCCTACAATTTTTTTTTAAGAAGATAGGTCATATATCAAGTGCGTCACTTTTTCTGGAACTGAGTGTATAAATCAGTCATCTTGAGAGAAGCCTCAGTATCGATTGAAATTTCGAACATACACAAATGGAATTGTTTGTTTTTCTCTCATATGGTATCTGGATTGCATGTTGAACAAAAACAAAAATTAACAGCATTTATCCTGGTTCGTTTGTAAAATGAATGTTATTCTCGTAATTAACACTCCAACGAGAAATTGTTCCAAGCGCGAGCTATTTTTTCGCGGCATCCTAATAACACTGATAGCATGCAGCCGCATTTTCATGCATAAATTCGAGGACACATCCCGTCGTCTATTCCTGCAGGCTCTGTCGTGATCACCGCGACAGAAAGACTTAAAAGGCAGCACTCGACTCTCGTCCAAACATTATCATAATCTGACATTTAGAAAAGTATGAGCATCGCCTGTACATTGCACTTAAGTTGCAGGCTTCACTCCACG